ACCTATCCTTAGTGTGATGCCTGACGCTCCCAGTAGTAGTGGTGGGTTTTCCAATAAACCATTATTTAAGAATCCCTGGCCTACCATACCATGTGAATGAGGTCATTGTGCCCTTAATTATTAGTTGCAGCATGACATTAACTCTTATTGTGCTGTATATGTTTTTAGCACAAAGGATTCCAGGTGGACTGGCTAAATGATTTCAAATACTAAAGGCAGAAAAAATTCCATCTGAAGACAAGTAGCAGTAATTCAGTGATTCAGTTCAGGATTTAGTTTACATATCAGATAGCAACAAAGTTAAGTGAATATCTTAAGAACACTGGACATTACAGGTTAGAGAACAGCATTTAAAACTAGAAGTTATTAAGCAAATTGTGTTTGTTTGCTTTTAATGAAAAGTACTAGACAGTGATGTCAAACACTATAATTGAATATAAGAGGAGAACATACAATTTAACCTGAAAAATGTAGAGCTTCCATAATGAGGGAGTGCCTAGCCTGTTTAAATAAGTTAACAGATATTTTAATTTTAAAGATATCCCAGTCTGGGCCTTTGGATATGACTGTTTTCATAAAGAACAAAGGAATGTATTTGATAAAAGATATTATGGCTTATTTGGAACTTCCCTTTAAAATTTAAAATTGGCTCTTGTAAGAGCCATCCTTATCAATATTACAAAATGACAAGATGAAATGATACCGAAGCAACAGCAAACTCAGAAAAATAGGTACAGTGAATACAGCCATTAGTAAAGGTGGCCTATTTTGATTGGTGCTATCTCATCTAAATATATAATGGTTTTCTCTATATAGTATTGGATTCACCCAGAAAACTCTTATACTTATTTTGGGCTAGAGTTTGGATCTCCTAAGGGGCGCTGTGGCTCAATGGCTAAGATGCTGAGCTTGTCGATCAGAAAGGTCAGCAGTTCCGCAATTTGAATCCCTAGCACCGCATAACGGAGTGAGCTCCTGTTACCTGTCCCAGCTTCGGCCAACCTAGCAGTGCGAGGTAAAAATGCATGTAGAAAAATAGGAACCACCTTTGGTGGGAAGGTAACAGCGTTCTGTGCGCCTTCTGCTTTTAGTCATGCTGGCCACATGACCATGGAGAAATCTTCGGACAGTGCTGGCTCTTCGGCTTTGAAACAGAGATAAGCACCACCCGCTAGAGTCAGGAACAACTAGCACGCATGTGTGAGGGGAACCTTTATCTTTATCTATAATATAGATAAAAAAGTATAAGAGTTTACCTGGGTGAATCCAATACTATATAGATTCTATATAGTATTGGATTCACCCAGAGAAACTTTTATACTTTTTAAAGACTAGAATATCGATCTCCATAGTGAAACTGCAGCCCAATATTACAGTGATGGTTGAAGTTTGCCAGTAGCTCTCTCACATGGGAAGTCCCTTACTCTTGTCCAGACAAATTTTTTAATACTTCTGTGAATCAGGTAGGCTATAAATCAAATGAATGAAATCACGCTCATCCCCAGCTCCCTAATTTAGAACCATACATCTGTGTCAGGAGAATATTCTTATTTTCATAAATTGTTTACAGCTTCAGGTCCTTGCTTCAGAAGAAGCCAATCAAGCAGCCACGCAACAGCTCTAAACCATCTATTTCTGAGTCTTGAAGAAGCCAGGGCAGGTATCTGCCTGCCTTGAAACAGCCCCGAGCTGCTGCTGCTTTATCTCTTTTCCAGGAACAACTTTCTGCCTGGGTGCACGCAAGGCAGGGAGTCAGTGCACCAAAACAAAAGTTAAGGAGATCTGAAAAGGATTAATCAGGATTTAAATGAACTGTGCCCCTAGGATTATTGGTCATGAGCTACTTCTTACAGAGCCTCCTGTGGGACCTGATCCCCAGAACAAGAGCTGAATAAAGACATGCTGTTAACATAATCAATCTCAGCCAACAGAAAGCAACAAAAAGGAGCAGATTGCAAAGGGAAGAATCCTCAACAGACAAATATATTTTTCTCTTAATGAAAAATGCCATCACCCTAGTTGTTAATGCTGAGAGGGAGAAAAGTCAAGTCTACCAGAATCCAGTGCATAAATCTGGGCATTGTCTACTGGGAACTTCCAAAATAGGTCTTTCAAAAGGAGAGGGAGGAGGGATTTAATAGAAGAGAGCACTCCTTGAGGAGTATTTAATTACTGCTCTCGTCTCACCTTAGAATACAATTATCCCACGGAGAAAGAAAAGTTAATCTAGTCTTGCTATTATTGAGAATATTGTCTGGGGATGATGTCCCTTGGAAAATTTGCAAATGCCTCTAAAATCTGCAGTCCACAAAGTAGATGATTGGAAGTTGACTTTTGCGACGGAATCTGGATGATTTTATTAGCTGCTCTGACTATTTTACCCAGAGGGTAAAAACATCCTCAATTAAAATAATTGCTAACAGACCAGAAGCTGGAAAGTAGTAATACAAACTTCTCAGCTTTTGGAGTTGAACTGATATTCATGATTTTGTCAATTTCAATTATTTATGAGTGGCAGGATTTCAGGGGCTTTGAAGCTTACCTTATAAGCAGACAAAGAAGCTAAACAAAAAATGTATTTTCATTGAAACTCAGTTTGCTCCTGGTTCCATTGTGTTTAAGTAAAATATCCTTCTTGTTAAATTTGAATCCTGGTGATTTCATGGGCTATTAATGAGCTTTCCTTGGAAAAAACGTGAGCTTGATTTGCCATTTCCTTTTTCTGAGGATGTTTTTAAGCTTCTAAATCTAGCCCACAACTTTGGTAACTTCTGATATTTTCCACCATAACATTCACATTTCAGGCATAACTATTATTCTTTAAAATACTAATGTACCTCTGCTAATGAAAATACTATGAAATAATTAAGCCAAAAGAATGTTTAATTTGAAGAGACTGAACATGTGCTACATTTTCATGCCCGAGTCCTAAAAGAAGTTTATTAGCACCCTTTCTGCCTAATCAATTTTATAAAAGGCACAAGATTTCATGAATTGCCATTCATTTCATCTAATGTGTAGAGTGGATCAATGCATTTGATGAAGTTAGGTGCGACTTCTAGTACTGTATGTCAATTTAACACCAGGTCTTCCTTTCTGAACTCTCTTCTTCATCTATATTCCAAAATAAATTGTGGATTAAAAAAAATATCTGCATTTCTACAGGTTCTTTCCTACTTCCGTGGCAATTTTTGTTCCCAAACATTCCTGGCAGTTTGCTTTATGTTGCTACACTGGCAAAGGACTATTTATTGTGTTTTTGCAGTAAGACTGATGAATTCTGGGAGCTGAAAGTTGCTAAGAGTGAGAAACACTATTTTAAACTCAGTATCTACATCCTGAACTTTGAATTCAAAGCGGATGCAAGGTGAGGAGGGTGCCAGGGTTCCAAAGAAACCACCCCCAACAAATAAAACTCCAAGGTCTGAAGTTCCTCAAAATTCCACTTTATTAGAGATGTCACGTTGGCACATCTGGGGAAACCCGAATCTGAAAGCTTCCAGGCTTTCCCCACCCAATGGAAAGTTCACAACCCTTGCCCCACACCTACATGTTTAACACATGGTCAAATCCAATGTAACTGAAGGCAATCTTCAACTACTCCTATCCAGATCCAGGCAAGTGTCCTTGGTTCCCAGAAGAATGAATGTTGTTATGGATAAACTCTACCGCTCCAACCAAACCACCCTCCTAAATTCCCAGGCTAACATATGTGATAGTCAGGAAGCCGAAAAAAGAAAAAATGCCTTCCACACTGACAGAGGGTCTCCGTCGCCTACTCTCCTGATGCAAATGGTATTGGAAAGCTCTTTTGTTAGGGCTGAGATCAGTAGGAATAGTGACCTCAGGAAATGTGTTCCATGAAGTTGAGATTCCTAAGCAGGGCTGGAAAAAAAAATTAGGTGAAGATCTTTCTGGAACCTGAAACAGGTCCAGGACAAATGGAAGGACAAAGCCCCAGGGGTGAGCCTGAAGGGGTGAATTTGGAGGTCCCCCAACTTTCTCTGGCTCCTACTTTGGTTTCTTCCCCATTTTATGACCCTGTAGTCCCTTAATTTGGGTGACTAAGTGGAGCTAAGCATTTACTGGTCAGATGCCCTTCTTGATGCTTATGTGGAGTTTGCAGCAGATATTTTTTCTTTGCACCCTAAGAGAAAAACATCTGCCGCTACCTAGGATTGAACTCTCGGGCTCCTCCTACTGATACATCATATTTGCATAGAAGGGTTTGTTCTCTTCATCCCATGGAATCCCACTACTTTCCATGGGATTGGTTTGATCCAGCTTCATGGATCCCATGGCAGACATGACACATTTGACCTATTGCATAATAAAGTCAGCACTAAGTAAGCTTGCCTGTGGAACATCATAAGATGGCAGGGGCAGACACTTAGTATAGCAGATGGTATATTTTGATCTTAACATAAAGATATATATTTGGCAGCATGGAATAGTTTTGTTCAGGTTTAGTTTTTATCTAGTTAATTCCCCCCCCCCTCCCAATCTGCAGATTTGGGAATTTTCCCAGGAATGTGAACAGATGCTTCTAGTTTCTCAATAGCTCCGTTTTGTCTACATAGACACCACAATTCTGTCTTCAATTTGCTATCAACAGCATAACAAATGCTATCTCACTTGGAAGTACATTTTGTTTACTAGTAGAAGATCCACAACTGACCTGTTGATATCACTACAAAGGTTTTCCACCTCCCTTCTGTTTGTGTTTGTCGGAGACTGCTTGAACAAGTTCCTGCAGTTTTCTTGGCAAGGTTTTTCAGAAGTGGTTTGTCATTACACCCTACTAAGGCTGAGCTTGAGTGACAAAGCCCTGCTGGCTTTGTGCCTAAAGTGAGACTAGTACTCCCAGTCTCCCAGTTTCTGGCTTGATGCCTTAACCACTACACCAAACTGGCTCGGACACTTTTTTATTGGCACAGAAATGTTCATCTTTTGTTGAGTGGGAATCACAGTTTTCATTTATTCAGTCCAATACGCTTAAAGAGAATCTGAACAACTTGGTTTATTATACCCAACAATAGGAAAACAGTAAAACGCCAAAGAATTATCAAATTCAAAGAAAGCTAGATTCAGACAATTATTAGGACTGTTTTTTAATAAAAAAAATGAAAGAGTAATACTATAACCAATTATATTAACAACATACAAAAGTAGTAGAGTGTTCAATCCCTGTGTTTAAAACATGGAAAATAGTGATGTAATGGGACATGTCTATGATCCAGATGTCCCTCAAACAAGATTGTTTTCCTGTTACTGAACCAAACTGTAAGGTATTTCTCACTAACCTCACAGGTTATTTATTACAGATCAGGTGAAACAATGAACCTGGAGCCATTTTAGAAAGTGTTATCTATTTCCTCAAAACCAGAATAAGGACAGCTTTGTCAAACATATTTGCAGTGTCATCTTCACTGCAATTTGACTTGTTTCCATAAGGTTGCTGTGAAAATTTCATCATGATATCGTTTTATCGTTTCTTCTTTGTTTCTTTTTTGAGCTTCTTGTTCACTGAGAGGGCAGCAATTTTGGGTTTCTTGACTACTTCAGCACTTTTCGTCTCAAAGCTTTCAGCATCCTGTTAAGTTTATGAAGGGAAACAGAACATTAATGATTTTGTGGGTAGGTGGTAGATCTTTTTTATTATTTGCTGGTACAGGAGAATGCTGGATAAAAGTGCTCATGACTCATTTATAAAATCAAAGGCACTGTATTTTCTAAGTACTGTATGTTTTATACTTATGTCTTTTAAACAGAAAATTAAATTTAAAAGTTTATTCAGGCTGACCTTAGGTATTTTTATTGGGATGACGCTTATATGAATGACATTTTTAAAAAACAATAACAACTCTACAGTCTTAACATTGGACATTACCACATGTACTTTGAGGTGATGAGTGCCTTTCAGCACTACTTTGTAGCCAAAGTGGGCTATATATCTATATCTATATCTATATCTATATCTATCTATCTATCTATCTATCTATCTATCTATCTATCTATCTATCTATCTATC